GTCTTTTCAAGTGAGATGATTTAAAGAGAAGAAAAAGAAGTTACTACCTTCTCAGTGGTTCTATGAACAGATCTTTTCCACGATCTCTCATTTCTACCACTAAAAAAAAGTAAAGAAGGCTCACAACTCATTTCTGCTCTTTATTCACTACCCCTTTATTAACATCTTTAAATTCAGTCAATTTCAACTCAAAACTTTATACAGACAGGGGAGGGGAGGGGAAAACAGGGAAAGATTTGTGGCTGCATGTTTAAGAAAGAAGCTGAATTTATCACAATGACAGGGGAGAGTGTTGGCAAAGATCTGAGCTATTTATTCTTTTAGGAAAATCCTATAAAGAATGACATGAGGAAGCCTCTATCTGCAGTCTTGTTCATCACACTGGTGAAGAGTCTGATAACAGATGTATGCAGTAGCGTGATTTAGTGCCGGGAGCTGGCCCCTGATGTGTATTAATACAGCGGCATAGCGGAACGCACCTCTCTTCATCACTCATTTCTATAAAAGAGGTGGAATCTGAGATGGCCCGATGTTAGGCAGAGCAAGCCCATTTGTTCTACTGACTGATGGTGCGAGCTTGGGTTGTGTCCTTCACCTCTATGGGGCACTCAGGTTGCAAAAAAACAAGAAAGAAAAGAAAAGGAAAAAAAAAACTCACTGAAGCAAGACCTGGTCAACAAGTGAGACAAGAGTAGTTAAGACTCCAAAAAAGAAAATCTTATTTCTTTCTGTTTGGGTATTTCTCACGTTAGACAAGGCCCTGAATTTTTAAAATTCTTCCCAACCATTCTTCTCCTACAAAGGATAAATGCTAAAAATAGAAAAGATGGATGGACGATAAAAAAAAAAAAGAATGAAGTCACAACAAAGATGAGAGAAGAGATGCTGGAAGGCACTAGTTGCTATGGGAACAGATGAGAGTGTATGGATGATCATGCAGGAGAACTGGGCAGATACTAACTCTATTAGTCCTTTGATTAAAACTCTTCAGTTGGCCAAATGTGTAACACTTTTAACAGTCAACTGAAATACAACAGAAGAATAGTCTGAGTATGAAAAGCTTTAAAATGAGAAGTCATTTGTGCAAGAAAGGAAGGAAGGAAAGAAGGAAGGACCCTTATTTTTCTGAGGTTCATCCTCTTCCTAGCCACCATTTGCTGCTTCATAACTTCATTTGTGAATCCCTTCTTTATGGTCTTCAGATAAACCTAGCACAAATGACACACTCCATTTAGTATCACTAAGAAAGGACTCCAGATCATCTTAATTTTGATGGGTCTTGAAAGATTTGCCTCCTTTTATTTTTCAAAAGCAATGTACCCTTAATTGGAATAAAATTCAGGATTATTTTTTGGCTCTACATTTTTTTCCCATTTTTTTCTCCAAATTCCAAGGAAACAAAAAACTATGACAAATTTCCATTGTAAAATATAAGTGACTGTACATTTTAAATCAGGGACTTTTCTGACAGGCAAGATAGTCTTCCATTAGTGAGTTTTCATCATAAATATTTTAAGGAACCATGATTTCATTGGAGAGGATACTTGTTTGACTAGTGCAGATCACTAGGTCTTTATGAGTTGCTCTGGTCAAAAAAAAAAAAAAAAGATCCTGCAGTCAATCTTCTAGAGATAAGATCCCAAGACCTCACTCTACACTGCATGCCATTCCAGTTTATCACGTCTAATCTCATCATTATGCTGCTAACTCAGGCCTTGACTAAGGGCCTCCTCTCCCCTCCAACTGGGGGATGTTAATACCAAACTCCCCCAATGCCTTCCATTATAGAGGTCAGCAACTGGTCTTTGGGGCTCACTCCACTCTGCATTTGTTGCTCTGCCTAGTTCCAACTGCACAGAACAAGATGCCTCTGTACTAATAGCCCCTGGTGTCTCATCTACCCCCTCCCCCTGAGCCTCTATCCCCCCCTTTCCTGCCTCCTTTTGTGTTGCCCCCCACCCTCATTAGATTGTAAACTCTTTGACAGCAGGAACTGTCTTTTATTCATTGTATCCTCAGCACTTAGCACAGGACCTGGCACATAGTAGATGCTCAACAAATGTTTATTGGATTGGACTAGACTGGACTGGACTGGATTGATTCAGTCTCACCATTAACCACAAGTGTTCCATTGCCACAATTAAAAAAAAATGACACTCCAATCATAACCTATCTTCCTGTCTCTTCCTATGCTGAACCTCTCATAAACCTATCATTCATTCATCCTCACAGAGACCTTCAGTAGCTCTCCCCCCAATATTTTCTCTGGCTATCACACTACTTTGACTTCACTTTTCTCCATTACCAACCTCAACCCTATAATTATTAACCAGGTGAACTCCACACTATCTTCTACTCTCTTGATCCACTTATCTTTCCACTTACTGTCCATGCTTCACCAACACCAACCTTGGATTATTCCTACTATCTACCTCCTCTACCTCCACTCATATGCTGCGGAACAGAGCGAGACGAATTCATGTAACCATTACAAATGGGTCCATTACAAATTTATGTTATCAAACTTCAACTGGGTCATCACTGCTGTAAAAAAAATAATTTACTGCTCCCAAACTGATTCTCTGTGCCACTCCCAAAAGAGGCCATTCCAAACCATCTCTCAAGTCTTCTACACACATCTTCACCTTCCTCTCCTCTCAGCTGAAGACCTTGTCTCATACTTTACAGAGAAAGCTGAGGCCATTTACTCCCTCTTCTCCCTTCCTTTTCTCTTCATTCTCAAAATCCCTTGATCATCCTCTACTGTCTCCTTTACTCTAGTCTCTGCTAAGGTGGTCCTTCTCATAAGAACAATCCCTTTATATGAGCCCTTGATTACATCTACTCCCATCTTCTCCAGAAGATTGCTCCCTTAGTCATTCCTTCTCTCTAATCTTCAGTCCCTTCCTATCTACTGGTTTCTTCCCTAATAGACCCTAATTAATGAAGACCCTTAATTTATTATTTTATATTTCTCTTGTCTTTCTAAGCTAAACTCCTAAAAAAAAAAAAGCTGCCTACATTCATGGGATAGCTAAGTGGCACAGTGGAATAGAAAAAGGCTCAGGACAGAGCCTTGCGATGCATCCACAGCTAAGGGCTGTGATTTGGACTATGTTCCATCAAAGGAGACTGAGAAGAATTCAAGACCAGCAGGAGGGGAACCAAGAGATAGCAGTGTCGTAAAAACCTAGAGAAGAAGGCATCTATAAGAAGAGGGTGGTCAACATTGTTAAATGCTACAGTCAGCCAACATGTATCTATAAAGCTCCTACTATGTGGCCCAAAATATGCAAGCCCCTGGGGGTACAAAGGAGGAGAGAAGAAAGGTGGGAGGGAGGTAGGGAAGGAAGAAGAAAGGAAGGATTAAGGAAGGAAGGAAGGAAGGATCCAAGGAAGGAAGGATCCTTCTCTTAAAGGATGAGGACTGAATAACAATAATCAGGTTTGAAAGTCATCCTTTCAAACAAGGATTCTTTCCTTCTCTCTTGTCTTTGTATTCCCAGGGCCTAGCACATTGCTGGGCACATAGTAGGAGCTTAATATATACTTGTTGACTGACTGATTGACTGGAGCATTTTACAATGTTGACCACCCTTCTCCTCATGGATACCTCCTCCTCTCTGACTTTTTGTGACACTACTATCTCTTGGTTCCCCTCCTGCCTGTCTTGATTTCTTTTCAGTCTCCTCTGATGGAGCATAACCCAAATCACAGCCCTTGACTGTGGATGCATCCCAAGGCTCTGGTCTGAGCCCTCTTCTATTCTCCATCTATATTCCCCCACTTAGTGATGTCATCAGCTCCCATGAGTTCCCATGAGAAGACTACATGATCCATATATCCAGCCCTAGTCTCTCTTCTGAGCTTCAGTTCCATACCACCAATTAAGGTGTCTACTAGACAATTCAAACTAGATATTCCACTCACATCCCAAACTCAGTAAGTACAAACCACTCTTTTCCCAAAAAAAATTCATGACACTTATACATTTCCCTATTACTGTCCAGGGTACCAGCATTCTTCTTGTCTCTCAAGCCTGTAACCTCAGCATTATCCCTCTGCCTCCTCTGTCTCCCACACCATACATAACCAGTTGATTTGCTTCCTCCTTCACAACATCTCTGGCATCTGACTTCTTTTCATTCCTTACACAGCCATAATAGTATTAGTTCAAGCATGACTTGCTTGGGCAATAATAGTCTCCTAAATTGTCTACGTGCCCCCCAGTCTCTCCCCATTCCAATCTATCCTCCCCATAGCTACCAGGGATTTTCTTTAAGTGTTGGCCTGACCATGTCACTTTCCTACTCAATAAACATTAGGGGTTCCCTATTGCTTTTCCTCACAAATGATACTCCCATCTCCCACCCATGCCTGGGATGAAATCCCTTCCCCTCTGTTTTGTGGTAATGTTTAATTACTTCAAGACTCAACTCAAGCTCCACCTTCTTTCATAAAGCCTTTTCTGAATCCCCAGCTGCTAGTATCCTCTCTCCCAAACTAGCCTGTATTTATTCTGCATATACTTATTTATAAACATGTTTTCTCCCCCAATAAAATGTAAACTCCCTGTGGGCACAGGTTATTCCACTGTAGTCTCTGCATCCTCAGCACTTAAGTGCCTCAGGGTAGGCACTTAATAAATGCTTGTTTACTGACTGATTCTCTAAAAAATTTTGTAAATTATTAGATGCTAACATATATGTAGGCTATTACTATTAGGTTGGTCCTCAGATGGCGGATAGAAATCTATCAGCAGGCCCGTAATTAAAACCTTCCTGGGTTGGCAGGATCTGCCAAAGCTGATGTTCTACTGGCAGAATCCTTGAGAAACCAGGGTCATTTCCAGGTCTAAGTAAAGCATACTGCACCTATTAAGCAAACAGTAAAGGCACAGACTTTTAAGCTATCTCAATTAGTTAATCCCTCCACCACAACACAAATATTCTGTCTCTTTCAGAACACAGTAGGAAGACTTGGAATTAAATCCAATTTACCTGCAGTTGGGCTGGACAGAGATGCTGTGGTCATAGGTTTCCGTTTCCTCTTTATGTCCCTCGAACATGGTGGTCCCAAGTGTACATTTGCCTGTCTGCACATACGAAAAAGAGATAAAGGCTCTACCAACTTATAAATTAAAGCAGCTCTTATAATACAAGATATTAAGTGCATTTACACTGGAAGCTTAACACTTGCCCCCATCACGTCACTCCCTACTCAAAAATCTTCAGTGATTCCTTATTATCTCTAGGATAAATGCAAAGCCCTCAGCCTGGCATTTAAAGACCTCCTCAATCTGAATACCACCTTTCCCAATTTTTTTTCATCTTATTCTCCTTTCACACAAAACTCAGCCAATCCAGTCTATTAACTGCTCCCTAAACTTAGCATTCCACCTCCTACCTGAAAGCCCTTGTACAGGTTGTCCTACATGTCTAGAATGCTTGCCCTTCTCAACTCTCTTAGATCTCTAGCTTCCTTCAAAACTCAGGTTCAGGTAACAGCTTCTGTGTGAATCCTTCCTTGATCTTCCCAAGTTGTTAATGAGCTCTGTCTCCTTAAATTACTATGTATTTATTCAATCTTGTCCATGCTATATCCCCTCATGGTAAAATATCTAAGTTTCTTTAGGGCAGCTACTGTTTCATTTTCATACCTTTAATACCACCACTTAGCACAAAATGCCATGCCCATAGTTGGTGCTTAATAAATACCTATTGATTGATTAAACTGAATCATGGAACGGAGAAAAATTTGCATAGTTCCTCTGCCAATTTTAATCAAACTTTTGCCTAAGACCATTCAGAATTAATAAAGGTAGTCCATAACTTCATACATACCTCTCCTGTCTTTACCACCTGACTTCAAAGCACCAGGTATAGAGTATTCATTTTGAAATAATAATGTACACTCATGAAGATTTTAGGTATAAGAGCTAAAGAGACAAATGTTCTAAAATCATTAATGAAATATCCTCAAATGAAGAAACATTGAAAAATTTAATGCTATGTGAACCCAGGCATTTGCATAATACTGTATTAGTAGTCAACTGTAACTCTCCTACCTCCAAATACACGGATTTTTAATCTTATAGACCAGCAGTCTAATGTTTTTTTTTTCTTTTTAAATTTTTAATTAAATTAAATTAAAAACATTAGTTGAGCCTGCAATTAATAGTGTACAAATCAAGAGATGTGATTTAGTAAACCACATTTGGAATACTATGTTCAATTCTAAGTGCCACATTTAATTAAGGACGCTGACAATAAGAGGAGGGCAACCAGGATGATGAGGTGACTGGAAACCATGACCTATGAAGGTAGAAGAAACTAGTTACTCAGCCTAAAGATGAGAAGCCTGAGAATAGCGGGAAGAAAGGAAGGATAGTGGCAGATGATACCTATCTTGAAGAATTTCAAAGGCTGGCATATAGAAAAAGGTATTAGATTTGCTCTGTTTGTCCCCAGAGAGCAATGGGCAGAGAAGTAGATTTCAGTTCAGTAACAGGAAACATTTCCTAATAATTAGCTTTGTTCAAAAATAGAATAGATTTCCTTTGAAGGAAGTAGTGGTCTTAAAGTGGACACCGAGTTACTATTTTTGGATGGATACTATAGAGGTTATTTTTGCTTGGGTATGACTTAAACTAAGATCCCTCCTCTGTGACTTTAGCAAGTCTAATTTAGATAAAAAGTTCTGAGTTCAATCACAATGTCTCTGAACCCTCAGTTAAGAAAATTCCTAATATCTAAGCAGAGGTAGGATGCTTTGCTTTAATTTACATATCTATCTCTAATTAACCTCTGACTTCTTTGGGATTGAAGAAAAATTCATTACTGGACTCATCTGAGTAACAAAACAGAGGATGATATTATGGTGCCTATGGATAGATAAACACTGAGAGGGGAAATTGGGGGAAAAGCAGACCCTTTCTTAGGTACACTGATGGAAATCTTCTGCAGTGAGATATCTGGTAGGGCTGATGGGATTTCTCTTCTTGATATACCCCTTCTCTACCAGAGTTCAATCTTACCTTCCTTTTATCACTAGCTGGTTGCTTCTGGGCTGCAAGTTCTTTACAGCTCCTCTGTATGACCCTATTCCTTCCTCCACTTCCAGACACTTGGAATTTCTATCTGGTTCTGAGACAGCTCATCTCTTCTGTGCAAGTTCCTTATTCAAGATTGAAGGAAGTATATAGCCCTGTTAACACTAGCTCTGACTGACTTATTCAAATAAATGATCTTACCTAACAAAGATTGTGACTGACCTTAATTTTTCATCTAAAATAAATTCAATAAAGTTACAGAGGTGGAACCCATATGGACCTTAGGGGGTCATTACATTGTCTCTAGGCTTAAAATAAGATAATTATTATAACAGTTACAGATGTATCTATAAAGATAATTTTGCTCAACAATCCTCTGATTATCAATGTCAAGCAAGGTATAAAAAGGAAGAATGTGTGCTCACCAAAGGCATTTGCCATAACCCACACAAAGTCCAAATAGATGGATTTTCTATAGACAGCAAGGTTTCCTCAGCCAAAGGGAGGAAGATGGGAGGAAGGAGACCTAAGCCAAGACCAGAATCAAGGTTCCTCCTCTCCCAAGCAGTTCCTTCTCAAAGAGGGGCTGGTTGGAATGCTGTACATGCTCCAAATTCTGGAATGATTCAGGTTCTATAACTAACTTGATAATTTACAGATGATCCCTGGGGCCTAATTGAGCTTCCTGATACCCATCTACACACAAAACTCTAGTTCCAAGGACTTTTGTCATTTAAAGCTATGACTGAGAATGACTGGGCATCTTATTTATTTTAAATGGGGTAAGAGTAACTTGACCAAGTTGATCAACTCTACTCTGACATACTAGAGGAAGAGACTTTATTGATTATAGTTTGCATTCATGTTTGTTATCTGTACCTCAATAAAGAAACCTCAGAAAACAACTTCTTGGTACAGTAAAATAACATTGCTCCAATATCAGTGGATATTGCCTATTTCCTTATTTCAATGCTAAAATTCTACTACGCAGAGTTTTAAGTATCTAAATGAAAGATTTAAGAACTGAAAACTACACGCTAATTTTTAAAAAAGCATCAATGTAATTGTTAAATGAGACATAAAATACACTATATGAATACATGGTTTCTATCTTCCTAGAAGTTCTACGTGCAAATTCATGTCTGCAAAGCAATTAGAAACAGACAACATGTTCTTTGCATGTATACAGAGTATTTTCTAACCCTTATCCTTAGGGAATAAACAATATGTATTAGAGAATTTTTCACATAACAGAAGCTAATTTCTTTACAAGAGAAGAAAATTCTCAATTGTATACATTCGGATGAAACTTTATTTCTAAACTATATTGCATACACCCTCGTGCCTTGGTGAGTAAAGACAATAAATTTAACAGACTGATACAAAATCATATTCTCCTACAATCGTCAGGATCCTAAAACCACAGATTTAGAGTTGTCGGGGATGTCAGGGGGCATCTAGTCTAACCCCCTAATTTTACAGATGATGAACTGAGTCTCAGAAGGATTTGCCCGTGGTCACACTGGCACAAGTGGCAGGACCAGGATTAAAGCCCACGTCCTATGATTCCACACCAGCTTTATTTCCACTAAACAATGCAACTTTCCAAGGGACCATGGAGATATTTCAGTCCAAGTCTCTTCATGACTACACGAGGGAATGAAAGACTCAGAGAGGTTAAGTGAACTTCCTAATGTCACACAGTCAGTTACAAAAAAAAGCCATAACTAGATTCCAGGTCTCCTGACCACTGACCTGAGTTCCATCTTCTTTTCTTAATGATTCAAGGTCATTAGTAAGAGCACCAATATTTGTACGATCCTACAGACTACGAAACATTCCTAATGATATGCTTTTTCACTAAAGTCTCTAGAACAATGGTTTTAAATGTGTGGGTTATGATCCTCTAGGAGGTAAGGGGTACATTAATATTGAAAGATATCCACAAAATCATACGCACACCAAGTGCTATCATGTGCAGCATAACAAACAATATCTCACACTTACATTTATTAACATTTTTCAATAAGAAATAATGAATATAAATAATACAGAGAAGAGTGGGAAGATATACGATCTATGGCAAAGTAAGCCAAAAAAGAAACTTTGTTTTTAAAACAGAACCACAAAAACAACATACACAATGACTACAACATTGGAAATAGAAATAATAACATCAAGATCATAATGTAAATAAGAACGATCAGACTTGGCTCCAAAGAAGGAATATGAGAATGTGACTCCTGTCCTTCTTCACAAATAGGGGAAACTATGAAATGCAGCACAGTGCACATGTGACACTTGGTAGATGCTTTACTGAACTTTGCTGAATTTTTTTCCTTTCTTCTTTATTCTTAGATATTAGGGATGGTGTTCAAATGGCAAGAAATACAGTTGATATAAAAACAAAATCTATCAATAAAACTTTTTAAGATTTTTTCAAATTTACATATAAGTTATAATTAATATTAATTCATTTAAAAGTATTATTTGAATTCATAATAGGCTTTTATCATCATCTATCTTCTTAATCTATGGATACTAACAATACAACTAAAAACATGAAAAGGTAAGTGAAATTTCTGGATGTTAACATGCAATCCTTATGCTTGAAAAGAAAAGGAAATACTGCTCTAGACCAGAAGTATAAATACACAGGTGAAGCAGATATAGAAAATATTTAATAAAAATACAATAGAACCTAAGTAATAATGTTAATATGTGTTTTTTTAAATCAATATGTATCATGCACCACCAGGGATTCTTATGTACAGGTTGGTGGTCCCTGTTTCTATTTGAGTTTGACACCACTGTTCTAGACTACTAATATTATTGTTGTTGATGTTGTTTGTTGTTGTTATTATTATTATTATATTCTAGATCATAGTTCTCATCTCCCAGAATCAACAATACCTTCATGGGCTACTAAGGTGTGTACTGAAGAGCAATCTTTCATTAAGTGGAGGGAAAGGAGAAGAGGGACTAGAACAAGTATTTATTAAGCACCTACTATGTGCTAGGCACTATGATAAGCACTTAACAAA